CCCTGAAAGGGTCAGTGCATGAGTCTGCAAACCCCAAAGGTCCCCTGTAATGTTTCTCCTCCCCCCTTCCATCTACTCCCCCAAAATATCCCCCTGAATTTATCTTCCATGATAGGAAAATGTTTGCATGTACTAGAGATGAAAACACCTTTGAAGTAGATAGTTTATATTCTCAAGTTCAATCATTCAGATCCCATAAAATACATGCACTGCGCAGCCGTGGGTGCCTGGGTATCTACCCCACTGTGTCTGGGCCGCCCACTGCTAGGAGTTCAAGTCAGCATCTCCCCAAGCCGAAGGGAGGGCAGGGGTGTCCAGGAAAGGAAGTGGAACCCTCAAACCTACCTAAAAACTGGGCCATAACTTTCCATCCCAGGACTGCAAATAACTGGATTATCCATCACCTACGAGGTGTGTCAGTAATTTCTGGATGAATGAATGAGCAAAGGATAGTTAAAAAAATAAATAAATAAAAGCAAACTAGAATTTTGAATGTTGATTTATGGCACATCAAAGTGACTAATAACAATTCAGAAATAGTCTGATTAAAATGAGCGCGCAAAAAGCAATAATCATGCCTTGATGAGTTCGGAATGTTGTAAACATCTGCTTTATGTTTCTGAAGAAAGGAACAATCCATCAGGGGTCCAAAGGAAAGGATGTAAGTTTTAAGAGTTTTCCAGTTTGATTTACATGAGTACTTTTCGTCATGTAATTACAATTATTTTTGGTTTGATCTCATTTTAGAAGTTTTAATTTGTCTTTAGATAATGGTGCTATAATTTTACTACATTGTGGAAATCTGAGATGGGCGGAGGGCTTTATATTAGAAGTTTCCTAAGACACCGTAATTAGCCTTTTTAGTTCATAAATAATTCCTCTGAGACTTATTTCCATAGACGTCTAATGAGCTTTATTAAGCCTTATTCAGATAGGCTCATATAGAACCACATGAATGTTTCTTATAAAGCAGCATTCATACATTGGAATTGTAGATATAACTGTTTAAAATTCTGTCCCCGAAGTAGAAACTGCTAAAACTGAATAGTCAGGTTAGGTCAGTGGGTCTCAACTGAGGGTGATTTTGCCACCAGGGGCATTTGGAAATGTCTGGAGACACTTTTGGTTTTCACAACTGGGGGAGGGAGGTGCCACATCTGGGGAGGCTACAAGACATCCTACAGTGCGCAGGACAGCCCCCCACCGCCAAGAACCATCCAACTTAAAGTGTCCCTAGTGCTGAAGTTGAGAAACCCTGAGTCAGGTATCAAAGATGCAGAAGAAAAATGAGTTTCACCTTCGGCTATGAAATGGGCTGGGAGCTGTTCCCTGTGCAGTTCTGTGCCGGGCCTCAGACAGAGTCCCGAGCGTCCTGCGGCTGCACACGAATCCCTAAGGAGGACCGTCTTGTTTTTAAAGCATGGCATTTAATTCAGGGACATTGCCCAAAATGAGAACTTTTCTCCTTTCGAAACAGCCATAGAGTGTAGGTTGTGAAACATTTCAGAGGCTCAGTCCTGCGTGTGCTGGCAGCTACCGAGAAGGCAGGTTCGTCTGCGAGCCGATGTTCAGAGCTGCGGGGAAGTTTGGGAAGCTGGACAACATATCCGGTGCCACCAACTAATGACAGTGCCCTTTACAGTTTGTGTTCTGGCAGTGTGTAATAAAAATTAAATTACTATTCATTTTCATCCTTTAGCTTCCAGTCAAGATAACTGTGTAATCGTGCCTATAGGTATATAGATGTGTGTTCATGTATTTAACACATTAATCAAATGAATATACAAGTAGAAACTGTATAACCAAAAAGTAAAATAATTTCTGGCATTAGCACAGTGTTTCTCAGTCTTTTCTCATTTCTTCCCAAAACCTTATGTGTAAGGAGACTTCAGAAATTTTTTTTCTAACTGTGCTTCCCCCTGTGAAAGTTTATCATACCATATACTATGTATCTGTGTATTATACATAAAAAGAGTCATATTTTGCATACACACCCCAATAGCAGATTGTCACCCCTTTGGATGATACATCACCCCCAGTGAGAATGCATGCATTATGAAGGGAGTGTTGTGATTATCTGGAGTTCTTTGTCTTATACCATGTGAGTTTCGGAAGAGTAAAACCTTTTCTCCCATTTCCTGTTTTTTGACAATGAGGTAACATTGTTGCCATTCTCTGCAGGCCTCAGTTGTGAACAGGCCCTATTCCTCCACCTGAAGACCTCTGGTTGCTCTGGTCAGGCCCGTTGTAATCCAAGAGGAATTGTAATGACAGTCAAATCATGTACATTGAAGCAAGGTCACCCATTTGTTTTTATGACTTTAATTTTTAGAACACTTTCAGATTCACAGCAAACTTGAAAGTACAGAATCTACCTCTACACCTGCCTCCACACTTGCGGAGCCTCCCCCGTTATCAACATCCCTCACCAGGGGGTACATTTGTTGCAATGACAAACCTACAATTGACTCGTTATAACCACCCAAAGAATATAGGTCACCTTAGAGCTTGCTCTCGGTGTTGTCCAGCCTGTGGGTTTGGACAAATGTATAGTGATCTGTGCCCATCATTGTGGCATCACTGGGAGTATTTTTACTGCCATTAAAGTCATCTGTGGTCTGCCTGTTCGTGACGTGTTGGTGAGGATGTGGGGAAACTGGAACCCTCACACACTGCTGGCGGGAATGTAAGATGGTGCAGCCCCTTTGGACAGTAGTTTCTCAAACAGTTAGACATAGTGCTACTATATGATCCAGCAATTGTGTTCCTAAGAACATACCCATGAGAAATGAAGACACATGTTACTGTAAACTTGTGCCAGGGTTCCTTTTGGGAACGATAAACATTAGATTGTGACGATGGTTCCACAACTCTGTGAATGAACTGAAAATCACTACATTGTGTGTGTGTGTTTGTGTGTGTACATATATTTTTTTATCCTCACCCGAGGACATTTTTCCATTTTTGCTTAGCCAGAGTGGGAGGGAAAGAGAGGAAGAGAGAGACAGAGAGAGAAACATCGACGTGAAAGGAACACATCGAGTGGCTGCCTCCCACACAACCCCAACCAGGACCGGGGACAAACTGCAACCGAGGTACGTGCCCTTAGCGGGAACCGAACCCGGGTCTCTCTGGACCACAGGCCGACGCTCTAACCGCTGAGCCAAACTGGCCAGGGCTACACTGTATATTTTAAATGGGTGAATTGTATATGTGAATTCTATCTCAATTTAAAGCTATTTTTTAAAAAGATGTAAACAAACAAAAAGGAACACCACGCTCCCCTCACTACCACCTGTTAGTATTCCCTACCCGCTCCTCATCCCTTCCTCCTCCACAACCCCTGGTAACCGCTGGTCTGCTTTTCTGCCTCTGTGGATTGACCTGTTCTTGATATTTCATGTGAGTGAAATCACACAGCCTCTGACTTTGCATACTTCATTTTTTGTATGCTTTTTTTAGCCTGATGTTTTCAGGATTCATCCATGTGGTAGCAAATACTAGTACTTCATTCTTTCTTATTGCCTAATAGTGTTCCGTGGTGTGGGTGTACCACACTTTGTCCGTTTATCTGTTGAAGGACGGTGGGGTTATTTCCACGTTGGGGAACACGTTTTTGTGTGGACAGATGTTGTCAGTTGTCTTGGGCGAATACCTAGGAGTGACATTGCTGGATCATGTGGTAACCATGATGCTCTCTGCCAGACTGTTTCCAAACTGCCTGCTCCTTTTACAGTCCCACCAGCAACTGATTTTTAATGAAGAGTAGCTGTAGACTCCTTAAAGCAAGTTTCCCAACTCCTAGGCCAGATTCTCTTCTTCCTGTCCCTGCACAGGGCCACGTTGTCCCTTAATTGGCAGATGGAGGATTAAACCCATAATTGTGGGACGTTCTCATCCCCTCTCCCAAACACACACACACGCTCCAGGTTCCAGGCTCTCTCGAATCATGTGGATTCCACCCGGCGGCCCTTCCGGGAACCCGACTGTCAGAGTTCCTGCGGGGCTTTTTCTCTTTAATAATAGATGACATTCTGCAGCCTCTATCCACTTTTGAGGAATTCATCTTAAAAATATATGGGAAGCTTTGTTGCTAATACTAGACCTTTGTTGGCACGTACATCTCTATTTTTTATTTCAGACATATGTTTGCACACTCCACACTCACACACCGCACAGGGCACCTGGGCATCCACGTAGCGCTGGTCTAGCCTGTGTCTCTCTCCATCAGTCACACGTCCAGTGATGGAGTTGGGGGGTCCAGCAGTGCATGTCCTCAAATCTATCCTGGTATTTAGCTTCCCCCACATCTTTTTTTTTTTTTTTTTTTAATCCTTACCCAAGGACATTTTTCCATCTTTTGTACAGATAGAGTGGGAGGGAGAGAGAGGAAGAGAGAGACAGAGAGAAACATCGACGTGAAAGGGACACATCAAGTGGCTGCCACCCGCACGACCAACCAGGGCCGGGGACAAACTGCAACCGAAGTACGTGCCCTTAGCGGGAACCGAACCCAGGTCTCTCCGGACCACAGGCTGACACTCTAACCGCTGAGCCAAACTGGCCAGGGCTTCCCCCACATCTTGATGGGTAACAGAGTCCACGTGTGGCTTCCTTTTAGTTCCATTCAATCCCCTTGTGTCTGTTCTAAGGCAGCCTCTGTATACATTTCAGCATTGCCGCTCTGGTCAACTTCGAGATTTGGCGAAAATGCGACGCTTTGCCCTTTCTATGTCCTTAATAACAAGCAAGGTATTTCCTTTCAACCCATAATCTTATAAGAAAGTGCCAGTGTTTGTAAGCCTATTCTCTCGCGCAGAATGTCTGTGTTACATGCTCTTCCGTCTCCAGGTCCTGGGCCGGCTGCTCCTCTCGCCAGGGTCCGGCATACACGTCTGGGCCTGGCACGGAGTGGGCACGCATTGCTCAACGAATGTTGCTGAGTGGAGGTTTTGTTTCGTAAATGCAATGTATGTCCCACTCATCACGAGCACGCTAAGCTTACCTGTGTTCTCTTTTGCAGGCTATTGGCTGTACTATGAACTGCAGTTGCCAAAGTTTCAAACCAGGGAAAATAAACCACCGTCAGTGTGAGCAGTGCAGACATGGATGGGTGGCCCACGGTAACTTAATTTCCCCCTCTCTCTTGGCTGGTAGTATTCTCTCTAAACAACTCACAGTTATTCAGGAATGGATGTAATCGCTTAAGAATGACAGCAGACGTGTGAGTTACTGCTGTGTGCCAGGCAACGGGCGAAGAGCTTTTTGTATGTTACCTTTTGGAATCCTGACGACTCCATAGGATACGTGTTTTGTTAGCCCCATTCTGAAGATGTACACACTGGTGCCGCAGTGCCGTCGTTTGGCGATGATAGAACTGTTCTGTGTGGTCTGAGAATCGCCCTGGCCTAGACAAAATACGGAATGCTCCGTTACATTTCAATGTCAGATAAACAAGACATAATTGCTTAGCCTAGGCGTATCCCACTCACTTGTTGTTTATCTGACATTTAATTGGACATCCTGAATTTTTATCTGTTGAATCTGATCCTACACTAGCCACGTGTGGCTACCGAGTGCTTGCAGTGTGACCAGTGGGGCTGCAGAACTGAATTTCCAGTTTTCTTAAATGTTAACGAATTTACATGTAAATATCAGTAGCCGTATGGGGCTAATGGCTGTCGCGTCGGACGGCATACCCTTCGGTGGTTTAATTTGCCAAGGCCGACAACTAGGCTTGCAAGTCCAGTTCTTCACCTGATTTTCCATCGTCTTGATTAGACACCTGCACCTTTATTTTTATACCCCCCCCCTTTTTTGCACTTCCCCTATTTGTGGCTATTTTCCTCCTCAGGGATACCACAGGAAAGGGAGAAAAGAAGAGTCTCCAGCCAGTCCACTTTATAAGTTCCTGTGAAAGCTATTAAGATAATTAATTATTTGTATAGCCGTGTTCCTTTCTGTCGGAACAGATCACTGAAAGTTAGCACCAGCCTCCTCCCCGTGCCGTGTTTCTCTTGAGAGTAGAACCTTTAAAAACGTCCTTTCTTCCCTTTGGTTTTCAGCTCTCAGTAAGCTGAGGATCCCCCCCATGTATCCAACAAGCCAGGTGGAGATCGTCCAGTCCAACGTGGTGTTTGATATCAGCAGCCTGATGCTCTACGGGACCCAGGCCATCCCGGTCCGCCTGAAGATCCTCCTGGACCGGCTCTTCAGCGTGCTGAAGCAGGACGAGGTCCTGCAGATCCTCCACGCCTTGGACTGGACCCTTCAGGACTACATCCGTGGATACGTGCTGCAGGTACGGCGGGCGCGCGCCCTTCTTCCACGCCTTCCCACCCGCGTCCGCGGATCGGATGCATCCCGTTGCCTCCAGCGCGACAGCCATTGCGGCCGTCCTTCCCTTCACTGCTTCTCTGTCAGCTCACACCCTCCCCCGTGTTCGGGAGGAAGCCAGTGTGTCCTCAAGGTGTCTATGAAACTCAGGCTATGGGAGCGTAACCTGGGTCTCTGAAACTACAGCAAACCATTTGCCCCACCTTGGGTGCTATCTCCACTTCTATTTTTTTTAATCCTCACCTGAGGATACTTTTTGATAATCTGTTCAGATAGAGTGGGAGGGAGAGAGAGAGAAACATCGACGTGAAAGGGACACATCGAGTGGCTGCCACCCACAAGACCCAACCAGGGCCAGGGACAAACTGCAACCGAGGTACATGCCCTCAGTGGGAACCGAACCCGGGTCTCTCAGGACCGCAGGCTGACACTCTAACCGCTGAGCCAAACCGGCCAGGGCTCCACTTCTAATATTTTTTAAAATTTGTTTTTATTGCTTTTTTTAGAGGGAGAGGGAGAGAGAAACATCAGTTGGGGAGTGGGGAAGGAGGGGTCATTGGGAGATAAAAGGGGGAACATCTGCAATACTTTCAACAATAAAAAAATAAAATAAAATAAACATCAACTGGCTGCCTCCTGCCCCCCACTGGGGATCGAGCCTGCAGCCTGGGCATGTGCCCTGACTGAGAATCAAAATGGTGACCTCTTGGTGCAGGGGACGCCGCTCAACCCACTGAGCCACACCGGCTGGGCTCCACTTCTTTTCTTATCTGCAAACTACCCGTCGACACAGATGCTGTCTGTGTCAGATTTTACTGAGGTTTTGAGGGTGAGAATGTGAACTTACCTTGCAGAACCACAAGCCAACAATTACGATTCCTGTTCTCTAACGCCGTCTGCCACCCACTGCTGATTTTCCTTCCTAGAATTTGTCTTGTGATATTTCTGTGTTCATGGTCTTATTTGTTCTCCTCCCCCCATTCTCTTCCGCCTCCTCACATTTTGTCTCGTGTCTCTCCATGAAGGAGAGATGAAAGCCTATCTCTCTGTGCCTTTCATGCCTTTTCTCCTCTCTGTACTTGGCAGAGTAGTTTTATCTGTTTTCATTCTTACCCAAAGATATGTGATTTTTAGAGAGAAAGGGAGGGAGGGAGAGAACCATCAATCATTTGCCTCTGTAAGCGCCCAATCAAGGATCAAACCCACAACCTGGGTATGTGCCCTGATCGGGAATCGAACCCGCAACCTTTTGGTGTACAGGATGCTGCGGCAACCAACCAAGCCACCCATCCAGGGCTTGGCAGAGTAGTTTTACCTCCCTTTCTATAACAAGCTATGGGAGGTATGCTTCCTGTTTCCCATCCAAGGCCACCAAGGTGTCTTCACAAGCACAGAACACATTTCCTGATAGGAATGATATCATTTCTCTAACATATGAAACAGATACAGCCTCTTCTTTTTTTTCTTGCCACTCTACTAGAAAATGTCAACCAGTTTTGGTAATAACCATTTATTGACCTAGGCCTTTCTCTGGTAATCTTTTTTTTTTTTTTTTTAATCCTCACCCGAGGACATTTTTCCATTTTTTGTTCAGATAGAGTGGGAGGGAGAGAGAGGAAGAGAGAGAGAGAAACATCGATGTGAAAGGGACACATCGAGTGGCTGCCACCCGCACGACCAACCAGGGCCGGGGACAAACTGTAACCGAGGTACATGCCCTTAGCGGGAACCGAACCCGGGTCTCCCGGGACCGCAGGCCGACGCTCCAACCGCTGAGCCAAACCAGCCAGGGCATCTCTGGTAATCTTATGAAGTAGGTAGACTGTCCCCTTTTTCCATTTGAAAAACCAGAGGCTCAGAGTTGCTTCTGAATCTTGCTGCAGTCACTCAACTTCTGAGTGCAGCAGACCTGGAATTTGAACCCGCTTCTTTCTGCATCTAAAGCCATGATCTTCCTCTGGAAACATGTTTCCTCACCTCGAGTGCAGGATCCCCAGCAGGTTAGAAACAACCTTTTATGCAGAGTAGCATTACGATCTTACATTATGACATGGATCAATATTTAATGATCCTAATAATCTTGCTTTCTAGTGTTGGGATTAAAAATATGGAATCAATTACCTTGAGCCTGTAGTGCATGAAAAATTTATGACGTTACATTCCTCATCATCTTCAAAACCCTTACATGCACTGTGAAAAATCTCAGTAGGCCATCAAATACATGTTCTGTGATAAAATATTTATTGTAGTTTTGGGAAAAGTTAGGCCTTGCCGGAGTTTGAAAGATCTCCAACACTCCAGTGTAATTACAGCTCTGCTTTGTGAACACGGGCCGTAGATCAATACAGGTTCATTTGTTTTCTGATGGTACTTGCTTGGGCGAATTATTAAAATGCAGTGAATAAATACTTGAGCTCCAGGTAGGTCTGACTGCTCCACCTAGAGTCTTCAGATAAAGAAGTTACTGTTGTTCAAAAGGTATGCTGTTGTTTTTTGTGTGTTGTTTTTATCCTCACCTGAGGATATGGTTATTGATTTGAGAGAGAGAGAGGAACAGAAAGAGAGAGAGAGAAACACTGATGTGAGAGAGAAACATGGATCAGTTGCCTCCCGTATGTGCCCGCAACCTAGGTTTGTACCCTGACAGGGAATCAAAAACTTCTGCAGCCTTCTGGCGGCATGGGACAACACTCCAACCAACTGAGCCACCTAGCCAGGACAAGATATATGTATTTTAATTTTTGTAGTGAAGATTATTATGCCTAATGCGAGACGACCCGTTGGTTTGAAATAAGATGGGAAATAATCACCAAATCTTCCTGGGGCCTCGAGTAAAATTTTATGTCTCTCTTTTGGACCACAACTTACATTTGTGCAGTCTGTTTTCTGCACAGTCTCTGGCCTCGGAGAGTGCCATAAGTGGGGGCCGAACTCGACCAGCCCCTTGCTCATCCAGAGGGGGTGTCATTTTCGGATATTCACAGAGGAGCCTTGTGGTTCCGGGAGGCGTGATCATATGGCTCCTTTCTTAGCAGGGAAATTAACGGTTCTTTTCATTCCTGGTTTGGGTTCAGGACGCGTCGGGAAAGGTGTTAGATCACTGGAGCATCATGACCAGCGAGGAAGAGGTGGCCACTTTGCAGCAGTTCCTGCGTTTTGGGGAGACGAAGTCCATAGTGGAGCTCATGGCAATTCAAGAGAAGGAAGAGCAGTCCATCATCCTCCCACCCTCCTCCGCGAACGTGGACATCAGGGCCTTCATCGAGAGCTGCGGCCACAGGAGCGCCAGCCTCCCCGCTCCCGTGGACAAAGGAAGCCCCGGCAGCGTGCACCCCTTCGAGAACCTCATCAACAACATGACTTTCATGCTGCCCTTCCAGTTCTTCAACCCCATGCCTCCCGCGCTGCTGGGGTCGCTGCCCGAGCAGTATGTGCTGGAGCAGGGGCAGGACCAGAGTCAGGACCCCAGGCAGGAAATCCACGGACCCTTCCCTGACAGCAGCTTCCTGACTGCCAGCTCCACCCCGTTTCAGGTTGAGAAAGAGCAGTGTCTGAGCTGTCCCGATACGGTTACTAGCAAGGAAGACAGTGGCCACTTAAGTGACTCCAGCTCCTACAACATTGTTACTAAGCTGGAAAGGACACAGTTGTCCCCCGAGGCCAAAGTGAAGCCCGAGAGGAACAGCCTCGGCACAAAGAAGGGCCGGGTGTTCTGCACGGCCTGCGAGAAGACCTTCTACGACAAAGGCACCCTCAAGATCCACTACAACGCTGTGCACCTGAAGATCAAGCACAAGTGTACCATTGAGGGCTGTAACATGGTGTTCAGCTCCCTGAGGAGCCGGAACCGCCACAGTGCCAACCCCAACCCCCGGCTGCACATGCCAATGAACAGGAACAACAGGGACAAGGACCTGAGGAACAGCCTGAGCCTGGCCACCTCCGAGAACTACAAGCGCCCAGGGTTCACGGTGACATCTCCGGACTGCAGGCCTCTCCCTGGCTGCCCGGGCTCAGGCGAGGACTCCAGGGGCCAGGTAGCCTTCCCGAGCGTTGGGCAGAACGGCGTGCTCTTTCCCAACCTGAAGACAGTCCAGCCCGTCCTTCCTTTCTACCGCAGTCCGGCCACTCCGGCCGAGCTGGCAAACACGCCCGGGATGTTGCCTTCCCTCCCCCTGCTGTCTTCCTCGATCTCAGAGCAGCTGGTGTCCAACGAAATGCCTTTCGATGCCCTTCCCAAGAAGAAATCCCGGAAGTCCAGCATGCCTATCAAAATAGAGAAGGAAGCCGTGGAAATAGCGGCCGAGAAGAGGCACGCCGCCCTCAGCTCGGACGAAGACGTGCCCCTGCAGGTGGTCAGTGAAGATGAGCCGGAGGCCTGCAGCCCGCGCTCGGACGGGGCGCCACCGGAGCAGCACACGCAGTCAGGCCGCCTAGGGAAGCCTCTCCCTGATGGACAGGTGGCCTGCCATCTCCAGTCAGTGATCGAGCCCAGGGGAGCCATCAGCGGCACCCCTGAGCAGGCCACGCACAACGCGGACAGGGAGACAGAGCAGAAGCCGGCGCTGGCCATGGTGCCCAGGGAGGCGGAGGATGGTGGCCAGGAGCTCCACCTCCCACCTGGGATGGAGCCCTGTGTTCCTTTTCCGGACTACGTCCGCCTGCAGCAGCACCTGCTGGCCGGGGGGCTCTTCAGCGCTTTGTCCACCCGAGGAATGGCCTTTCCTTGCTTGGAAGATTCTAAAGAAATGGAGCACGTGGGTCAGCACGCATTGGCGAGGCAGAAGGAAGAAAGTCGCCACCGGTGTGACATCTGTCAAAAGACCTTCAAGAACGCTTGCGGTGTGAAGATGCACCACAAGAACATGCACGCCAAAGAGATGCACGTGTGCACTGTGGAGGGCTGCGAGGCCACCTTCCCGTCCCGCAGGAGCAGGGACAGGTAAGGCCCTGTGGGCAACGGTCTGTCCTCAGATGGTGGTCCTTAAACCGGAACCTTCATCTGAGTCACCTGGCCCCTTCTGCTTCAGGAGGTCTGGGCGGGGCCTGAGACCTTCCATTTCTACGTGCCCAGGTGACACAGGTGTTGCGGGGCGTGGGACCACAGTTGGAGAAACGCTGTCCTATAGATCCACCCTCCTGAATTTTCAATTCTAAAACCTTAACTCATTTGGCCACAAGATGTCACCTGAAATCCCCTCTAATGGGGGAAACATAGGCTGCTGTGGGCACCGGGGAAGGTGCCTACCCAGACTCTGAGGAATTAGGGACGGCTTCTTGGAAGAGGGGCAATGAGTAAACCAGCAGGTCTCAAAAGTTGTGGTCTCCAATCCTTTACAAATTCTTTTTATTTTTATTTTTTTAGAGAGAGAGGGGAAAGGACAGAGAGAGAAAAGCATTGATTTATTGTTCCACTTAATTATGCATTCATTGGTTGGTGGTTGTATGTGCCCTGACCAGGAATCGAACCTGCAAACTTGGTGTATCGGGACAGCATTCTGACCAACTGAGCTACCTGGCCAGGGCCCTTTACAAACTCTTAACACCTCAGGACCCTCAAGAGTCTTTGTCTATTTGGGTTTATGTCTAACCCATATTTACTGTATTAGAAATTAAAGCTGAAAAAAATTAATACATTTTACATCACTTAAAATAATAAACCTATCATACGTTAACATAAATAATATTTTCATGAAAAGAAAAAAAAACAAAACAAATCCTACATTTTCCAAACAAAAACTTAGAAGAGTGGCTTTGTTTTACGTTTTCACAAATTTCTAATGTCCGGCTCAGTAGAAGACAGCTGGGTTCTCATAGGAGTTTCTGCGTTCAGCCTGTCGCAGTGTCATATGTCACGTGGCCCCTGGGAAACTCCACTGTCCACACGTGAGAGAAGGAGAGTAAAAAAGGCAAATTATGTCTTAGAATCATTATGAAATGAGTTTTCACTTCAGGGAACCCTTAGGGGTACCCAGACCACACTTTGAGAACCACGGGTCTCAACAAATCTGAGGAGTCAGAAACCGGGAGGGAAGAGTGGGGGCCGGTGGTAGAGGACGTAGGGGAGAAATACAGACCTGGGCGGTGGGCACAGCACCAGCTAAGTCCTGGAGGCAGGAAGCTGACATGAGGTGCAGAGGGCTTTTGGTAGTTGTGGTCATCACTGGTTTTAGGGGACATGGCACCTCGGGAAATGCATCTAACCCTCTGAGGCTCAAGGAGAAGGTTGGAGGAGCCCACAAGTCAGCTCTTGGTATTTGTGGGAGACTCGGGAGTTGAGCGTGGGGCCCAGGGCCTTGCTTTGTTGCAGCAGGGGGCTTTCTGTACAAGGTTTCAGTGAATGTGTTTGTCTGGCTTTTTTTTTTTTTTTTGTAACCACTTGTACCTGGATGTCAACCCAGTGTCTGGTTTTCTGCTGACACATTCCTGCCCCTTCAACCCAGAATGCTGACATAATCACAGGTCAGAGTTGTAGTTAAGAAGGGCTGCTTGCAAAGTGGGTGATCTGGGAGTATAATTCTGATGATGTCCAGAAAAAGAGCGTGTGAGGGGATCCAAGAGAGAAGGTGACTAGTAAATTTGAAGTAGGATTAAACTTTCTCCCCTCCTTATACTGTCTTTGGAGATTTGGGAGAGAAAACTCAATCCTTATTTATTTTGGTGAGGCTGTTTTGCCGCAGTCTGACCCTGGCTTGCATCCTGAGCTGTAGTGGGGTTGGGTTGGGAGTGTTTTCCCGGTTTGGATTCATTCTCCTCTCCCCTTTAAGAGTGTAGCCCTTGGGAAGGGCTGTTTGCTAGTCATCAGGTTAGCAGGGGATCTCCGAGCAAGGCCAACATTGATTGACAAGTTACATCCAAATGATATTGTATGAGTCAAAGGCATGTGTCATAATGGATACTCATTATCTGCCCTTCAGGAGTAATCACCGGGTAGAAGACGGGTGATTGGTGGTGTGCTCACAGTGCTGCCTTTGCAAAACCCCTGTCTGGTATACAGTGAAACGTTGCAAATATGAGCTGAACTTAGTGCACGCGCTCTCTCTCTCTCTCTCTCTCTCTCTCTCTCTCTCACACACACACACACACACACACACACACACACATACACACACACACCCTGGTATTTCTACTCAACCCGATTTTCATACATGCAGAACTTCTGGAGCAATGCCAACACTAGTCTAGACCCTGATGCGAGCCACAAAGAAAACTGTAAATTTTCTAGTAGCCACGTCAAAAAAAAAAAAAAAAGTAAAAAGAAACGGGTGAAGTCAGTTTTCGTAACTTATTTTATTTCAGTCAGTCTCTCCAAAATAGTGTCACTTGAATATATGACACAGCCACGTTCCAGACAGTAGCCACATGTAAGTGGCTATTGTATCGGACAGGGCAGCTCCAGAAGACAGTATTTCCTGGTTTCCTTGAAACAGAGTCCTCTGTTTAGTTCCTTATCATCTGTGACCAGTTATTTCCTGGGATTCCCCTGTCTCCAGTGTCCCGGTTGAACTGGCCTGATTGAAATAGTCTAGCCATTCTCTTTAGAGGCGGTCCAGCAGTTACTTGTCAGTCAGATGGTGGAAGTTGAAGAGAAACATATTCCCAGTTCCCAGACTGTTGACTTTCCTGTGAAAGGCTAACTTCTGCCAAGCGGCGAACCGCCGCGGGCCAGTGTCCACCAGCCGCGCAGTGCACCCCACGCCCCTTGTCATCCATCACTTCTCGCGTATCTGGTATCTTCTGAGTGATGTCTCTGCCCAGAGCGATGACTCTTTTTAGAACAACAGCCTGATCCGTTGCTAACCATCTTTTCCCTCTTGTAGACACAGTTCGAATCTAAACCTCCACCAAAAAGTATTGACCTCGGAAGCACTGGCGAGCAGCGAAGACCGTTTCCGTGCAGCCCACCTGCTGAAAGGTGTGGCTCAGGAGGCCTACGGGGAGGTGGCTTTCACACAGCAGGCCTCCCAGACATCTGTCATCTTCAAGGGAGCCAGCCGGATGGGCAGCCTGGTTTACCCGATAACCCAAGTCCACAGTGCCGCCCTGGAGAGTTACAGCTCTGCCCCGCCCAGGGAAGGCACCGTCCTGGATCTGAGTACTACCTCGAGCATGAAGTCGGAGAGCAGCAGCCATTCCTCCTGGGACTCCGACGGGGCGAGCGAGGAAGGCACCGTGCTCATGGAGGACAGTGATGGGAACTGCGAAGGTCCGAGCCTGGTCCCCGGGGAAGACGAGTACCCCATTTGTGTCCTGATGGAAAAGGCCGAACAGAGCCTCGCCAGCCTGCCTTCTGGGTTGCCCATTACATGTCATCTCTGCCAAAAGACGTACAGTAATAAAGGGACCTTCAGGGCCCACTACAAAACTGTGCACTTGCGCCAGCTGCACAAATGCAAGGTTCCGGGCTGCAACACCATGTTCTCGTCTGTTCGCAGCCGAAACAGACACAGCCAGAATCCCAACCTGCACAAAAGCCTGGTCTCCTCGCCGAGTCACCTCCAGTGACGCGACTGGATAATAAGCATTTGCGTTATTTCACGAAGAAGGTAGTCCGAAGAGAGGTCTCTGACTTTGTTTAGTACCTTTTGGGACAAACCAGGCAGAAAGTGTGTGTGTGGACTTTCTCGTCTTGCACCGCAGGATGAGTGAGGACGCGCCTTGTGGGAAGTTGACAGGGGGCAGCCTTTCCTGTTATTTTTCTTAGCCCAAGGTATTTTTCACTGACATGACAAGAACTTGCAGAAACGCAGTTTTTCCCAGATCCGTTTGCACATTCTCTGGGAGATCTCCAGGTCTGCAGATTGACAGCAGGGGGCCCGGACCTGGGGGTGGCTTAGAGTGAGGCTTGCAGAATTAAGGGTCGATTGAGTGTCCTGGGGAAGCAGGCTGTCACCAGGGGTGAGGAGCCAGTCCCAGAGATCACATTTTTCAGTTCCTGCTTTAATTAGTCTGAAATCCAGACTTCAGTTTGGGAACAGGACTTTTTGACACAATCCCTCCATTTGGAGTGGAAAATTGCTTTTTTCCCCCCATGAAGGTCTCATGTGTTACTCCAGGGAGTTCTCGGAGGAAGTTGGTTGGCCTCTAAGACATAGGAACGTGAATGTTACCGAGGACGTTCGTTCTCGCTCCGTGACACGCATTCAAGATGCTGGGGGGTAGGGGGAGACCGTGCACTTAAAACTAGTGGTCTCCGGTTTAATTTAAAGTAATCTGATAATATTTAATTTGTGTTTATATTATGTGAGTATTTGTGGTGAGTGCAGACATGTCACCGTGTGACCTGGTCTTGTTCGGAAGCAGAATGAAGGACGACCTAGTCTTTAAAACCACTGCCGTTTTCATTTGGAGAAGTCCGGAGTCTGCTCCTGGCGATGCCCTGCGGAGTGGATGCAGGCACGACTCTGGCAGGATCCTTTGTATATTTTTGGCCCAGGCGTTTAGAGAATGTGGTTCTGATGGTGGTTTTGCATTTTCAGTATCCCCAGATTCCCCCAGTCTTCGCCCTTGATAAGCCTGTAGGATGAGGGTGACCTTCCGGATTTACATGGTAGAAAGAAAAGTAGGGTGTTCCTGCCATACTCTGTCTTGATATTTAACTTATTCTGAAATATACTCCACATTGTTGTACACATTTGTTACTGTAGAATGGAAGCGTAATCGGCCCTGTGGGATGAGGCCATCTCCTGAAATTCGGCATTTACAGTACTCTAAAAACCGTGGTAGGGGAAAAAAGAAATTGATTTCATATTAAGACTTCAAGTTAACCATCTTTGAAAGTTATGGTTGGTTTAAGTAATGAAAAACATCCTTAAAGAGAATTGGGGGGGGGGGGGTTGTAAGAGTATTCCCTTGGTCTAAGGGTGAAAGGAGCCAACAACCTGTTACTGATTATTTCAACGTTAAAAAAATAATAATAATAAATGTGACAACTTAAAACTTGTCTCTGTTTAAAGTGAGATGTACCATTCATCTGTTTTGTTATCCAGCTGTTCATTATTCCAGTTTCCCCAAAGTAGAAAAAATTTGTATACAAATGAGTTTTCTATGATTTAATAAAAATATATGGCATACTTTTTGTCTAAGAAGGCAGACATTTTGTAAAACCGGTTTTGTCACAGGGACTGCTCGTTGTGTGAGTGCTTCTGGTCTCGCGCTTGCACACGCGTGTGTGCACACACACACACGCACACACTTTGAATCTTACAGAGCTGCAAACCCAGGGGAGGGCGGGAGGAGCCGCAGAGGACCAGTTCCTTTTGCTACCTGAAGGCTGGAACTGCAGCGATTCACGAGGTCCCTGGGAGGAGGGGCTAAGTACTGATTCGTTACCAAAATTAAGTGATTTTTCATAAAAGGACTGTGTATTTTATAACCAATACTCAAAATAGGACGCAATGCAAAGATTTGAGCCTCTTTCATTCTTAAATGTACAGTGGGTTTTTTCCCCCCAATATTTGTGAATCTCTCTTATTTTAATGATTAACATCCTTGAACTTCTTTAAAACTTTCTCACCTTTTTTCCTACTTATCCAACAGATAGATAAAAGCACGGTCCAGGTGCCCACCCAGGTCCCCTCTGAGGTGATGCCCCTGCACTTCATATTTCACTGGAGAAAAGGAGGAGAACTTTCTCATCTACCAGCACCTGTAGTATGTCTTCTCTACTCTAGGTCCCATTGTCTCTGGCCTGGAGGCCTGCTGTCGCCCCCTAACTGGTCTCCTGCATCCATTCTCCCCTCCTACAGCAGTCAGAATGGTCCCCCAAGGTGCAGGTCCGATCATGTAGTGCCCATCTCAGTGGCGTCCCTTAAAGCGGAAAATCCGGAGCCCCTCCCAAGGCCTACACCTGCTCCTTGCACGATCCCACCACGTCGACTCATATTCCCCGTAGCTGACCTCACTTCCTGCTCAGAGAGCTGGGTGGGAACCCCTCAGCCTCTCCCCCATGGCCCACCCACCCCCATCCATTTGTCCAAATTCACACCCATCCCCCTGTGGTCACATCTGCCTGGACCTCCGGAGACTATCTCATGCCAGGTGGACAGTCACCGCAAGCTCTATGACCAGGTGGCCAGGAGCCCCCTGTACACCCACCGCCCATTTTGCTCTCACATTCAGACCCATCACAATCTTAGTCTTCACCTTTCATTAAGGAGTCCAAGCTCCCCTAGCTCAGCCTTTCTGATTTTGTCCTCTTGTGCCTACGGGTTAGTCCGGGTCCTCCAAGAAGCAAGTGTCCGTAGGATAGGATGTGCACATGTTTTATTGAAAGGAAATAGGAAGGGAGCCGGGGGAGCTGGCAGACACAAAGCAGCTCTGACCCCAAGTGAAGGCCAGAGGGGGGACGGTTGGGTGAAAGTATCCAAGACTGCCATGTGGTCTAAGGAGGTGGAGCAAGGTCGCGGGGAGTCCTCGAGCCCAGGTCGGCCATCAGAGCAGCCCCGCGTCTCCGGGAAGGTTCCCTGGGAACTGTATCCCTGCCGCACTGAGCCTTTGGCAGCAAGCATCCCATGGCAGGTGTGACCTCTGTGAGTGTGCAGTGGGTCTGGAGCGGAGTACCTGGAGCCCTTGGCCAGAGCTTACCTTTCCAAAGCCCCTGTGTCCTGTGCAAGGTGGATTTAAACCTATTTTTCACTGGTCCCAAAACTATTCCTTTTGAAGGCTGGTGATCCCCCCTCACCCCTGTAGCTGCCTAAAGGGCCATTTCGTCACTTCTCCCCTCCCCGACTCATGATCAAACGCGCTCTTTCTACTGGTTCCATCTCTCTGGTCTGTAATATTTGTGAATCTCTCTCATTTTAATGATTCAAAAAACAACCACAAAACAGCTTTCTAGACCCCGGGTCCCTTATAGTGACTTCTTCCCTCCTCGTGCGGCTGAGGTGCTAGAATAGCAGATTTTGCCTGAAATCACCCATGTGGTTCTTTGGTGTGCCCTGGTCCCTCTTGGGCCTTCGACTCTCCTCGCGCTCAGTGCTCACTCTGTTGTCTCGTTCACCCCCATGACCTCGACTGCTGCCTGCAGGCTGATACCTCCCAAACTACAGCTCCGGCAGGATCTCTGGGGCTGCCCTCCGGACTACTGCACATCGTGGAATAATCCACAGTGTCTCCTGCTCAGCTTGTCCTCAACTCAGTTTGTCCTTTCTCTGCCAATCAAATGATCCCTCCTTCTGTTACCTCAGATTGACCAAGTGGCGCCATCACCTGGCCAACTCAGGCTACACACCTGGGACAGTCCTGGGTCTGGTTAAGGGCATGGCTCTTCAAGTCCAGCTATCCTTGGCCACTGCACCTACTAACCAGGTGACTTTGGCCAAGTGACAGCTTCTCTGGGTCTCCATTTCCTCACCCATATAATGAGGATAAAAGTAGCCTCTATTTCGGTGGGTTGTGATGAAGCTCAAAGGCACGGTGCATTTTAAGCCCTTAGCACAGAGCCTGGCACTCAGACATTCGTGGTAAGCATCATCCTCATCCTTGTCATTACTAGTCTAGACTTCTCCTTTCATCTCACTCCCAGCAGCCGCTCTGTCCCCGAACCCCAACACCTTACCTCCCAAAAAGACGCTTTCAAATTCTTCTCCTCTTGCTCGTGCTCATCATCAATGTTGGTGCAACATGGGACCCTCTACTTCCCTGTCCTCCTCTGATATTTCAGCAGCCTCCTATTTGTTAAAAAATTGTTTGATTGATTGATTTTAGAGAGAGAAGGAGAAACAGAGAGGGGGAGAGAGAGCAACATCAATTTGTTGTTCCACTTATTGATGCACATTCATTGGTTGACTCTCGTATGTTCCCTGACCAGGGATTAAACCCACAACCATGGCGTATCAGGACGATGCTCCAACCAACTGAGCTATCCAGCCAGGGTCAGCAGCCTCCTACTTTTATTTCCCTCTCACATCCATCCTCCAGATAACAGCCTGAAGGGGTTATACCATAACCCTCATCTGACCACAGGCAGACCTCGCTTTATTGTGCTTCGCAGATACTACGTTTGCAGCAACATCGAGGCAAGACCCTCCGCCAGGAAAAAGATGACAACTCGGATTGGAGGGCAGTCTGACTGCGACATCTGCCAGCCTATTGATCGCCAGGGTTGACTCGGCTGATCCGACTGGTTAGGCGGGTGTCCCCCTCCTCCCTCACCGATCTATGTGTGTCCCTCCCAAAGCTGCGCCCTCCGCCTAAGAGGATGACCTTCCCCCCAAAGGAGAGGACCGGTCTCTGGTGAAGGGTATACAAGAAGCCGCGCTCCCCTGCTAGAACCCCCAAACAAGCTCTCAAGATGACGACTCACTGAAGGCTTATGACGGTTAGCATTTTTTTTTAGCGATAAAGTGTTTTTTAATTAAGGTATGTATATTGTACATTAGACATAATGATTGCACTCTTAGTAGACTACAGGATAGTTAAACATAACTTTTACATGCTCTGGGAAACTGAAAAATTTGTGTGACTCTCTTTATTGTGACATGTGCTTTACTGTGGTCGAGTGGAACCAAACCCACAGAATCTCGTAGGTGTGCCCGCGGGTGGCCCTGGCCTCCAGGTGCTTCCCACTGCCCTTGGACTAGAACGCCCACAGGGTGCCTCAGCCAGCTGACCCGTGCAATCGCCCACCACCCAGGGCTGGTCAGCCCGTGTGGCCCTGCGTGTGCCGCTTCCTCTGCAAGAACTGCCTTTCACAAACCCTTGGTCCTCCTTTGAAATGCAGCTCAGGTGTGGTCACTTCCAGGACACTCCTGGTGACCGCCCTCTCCGCCCCGCTCAGCGTTGAGAGCAGTGAGTCTGTCCTTGGTACCAGGTGTTGTCAAGC